GTGCAGAGACGGTGTCCTAGAGATCATTAACTTACTGAGTTCACTGGGCAGGATGTAGGTCTTATACCACCATTGTTTTGTTGTTTTGGGGCATGTCTCATGCTTCGGTTGCGTGGTTTTATTGCTAAGCAAGTCTGCTTGGTTTTGTTGTTAAACGAACCTGCTTTCTTGAGTAATCATTCATTTACAGGGGTCTCCCATATTTTTTCTACTTACAATCCCCTAGTAGGATTAACTATTTAACCACCTACTTTGACCCTTTACTCTCTCCCTATCAGAAGTATATTACTTTGGAAGGAATTTCAAAAGCACTACATTCTCCTTAGTTTGAGAAATTAATTTTTAAAAAGAGGATGTAAGTTTAATGGATGATTTTAGAAACATTAACAAGCCAATAAAAGTCAAAACATTTGGTAGCTACTGTGTGCCAGAGACACAGGGTAATCAGACAATTGCCTAAGGAAGCAGTAATAGTGGAGGTAGAGTCAGAACCCAGTCATTCTGGTTTTTGAGTCTGTTCTTTTAGCTACTATGCAGAGAAGCTGCTTAGCAGTGCCTGGTAAATAAGAACTGCTCAATAAATGGAAGATATACTGTAATTTTCATATGAGTCTAAGGCTTGGGATGCTTCTCTATTCCTAGGATCACTTCTATAATATTGAAAGAGCTGTAGAAACAGAGATATAAAATAAATAATTATATCACTTGCCTCTGTTATTTTTTAAAAAAGCTTAATTGAGGAGAAATAAATATCTAGGAATGAAGAGAATAGTAAAACCTTGGATTAAAAAATAACTTAGTAATTATTGGATTTGTGTTTATACAGATTACCTTACTAGTCTCTGGGATAAAAGAAGTAACTAAAATTAATAAGACATGGGTCCTGCCTATGAAGGAGCTTACAGCCTAATAATGGTCACAGAGAGTGACAGAGTGGATGCAGACATGCCAATCATGGCCCAGTGATGGAACATGATAAATTTGAAGTTCCAAAGTTGAATCCTAGTGTTATAGTAGCTGTGTGCTAAGAGCAAATCCTGTGAGCACTCCAAATCTCAGGGTTTGCTTTTTTTTTTTTTTTAATTTTTCTTGGACTGGTGGTAACTAGTATTGTTTTCTAAATCTTTAAAATGGAAATAATTATGCATAATTCAAAATGCTTAATGGGAATTAAATAATGCAAAGTAATCACTTACTCTGTCTTTAGCAGTGAATAAATGTTGAGCAAAGAGCTACTGTGCCACATGAAGCTTTGAAAACTTACCTGTATGGAGCACTCACTGACAGACTCCCACCCTCCTGCTGGAGGCAGTGGGGGTACCCTTTAGGTGCAGTGCCAGGGCCTTGCAGAAGCAAAGTAGGCTCAAGCCTAGTTGCTCTTCAGAATGTTGAGCTGAAGAACAAGGGGGCAGTTGCCCCTTTGGAGGCCAGAGCAAGGCTTTTATTCCCCTAATATCTTTTTTTCTTAAAGGAGACTCAAAATAAAGTAAAAATTTAAGAAAGGTAGCATATATATGGTCTCTGCTTGTGTTACATGGTTAGGAGCTCTGATGAGAGGATCATCAGAGCTATTAAGAACACCACAATCTCAGAACACTAAGGTCTTTATATGAGTACACCAAGTGATTTTAACATACAGTGAGGAGAGAGGTGCGCTGGAGTAGTGATCTCTTAGGTTCTGTAGGATAGATGTCAAAGGTCTGCCTAGACTCATACCCACTAGTCCACACCACTGGGTATGTTTGTTAACAGTGCTTAGAACCATATTATAGAGGGTTTTAAACTAAGTAAGTGTCTGTGAGCAGTAGGGAATTAATGAAGATTTTTATATAAGGCAATGTGTTGAGAGCAATGCTCTAGGGGAAAAAGAACGTATCCTTTAGTTGTCTCTATATAGTAGAAGGAGGGCAAAGAGGGAACTAGAAGTGGGGTATGAACTAAAGTGTTAACAAGTGAAACTGAGTAAGATGCACTCCAAGCTGTAATAATATTCCAATAGAATTATAGGAATATCGTCTTTGTTTTTTTTAATATAGGATAATTAACAAAGAAACATGGGCCATAATGCAGATATGAAAAGGATGCTATTGAATTCAGAAACAGGTTGAAATGAAATTTAATTCTCACATAGTAATTACATGCTATATGACAAGGAAGGTTCTATCTAGGTGAAGGTTCTATTTGCTGTAAGTTAATGTGTCAAAAGCACACCAGTTTCATAACTCCTACCAACGGGTGAACAAAAAAGAAACTACAGGAGAAATATATCTTTCCTATTAGTCCTCTCCCTTTAAGAAACATAAATAACAGCAACAGAACTACCACTTACCAATTTCTTGGGCTTTCTTTAAAAACATTTATAATTATCTGTTAACTTGGCATGTGCCTGACCCCTACTGGGGACTAACGACTTTCAGAGGCTCCCAGGGAAAAGCAGAGGCCTCCAGGAATGCAGAGTCAAGGCGAAAAGAGTCTCCTCTGCCCCAGTCTTTGCATCTTGTAATGCTTACACACCACATGAAATTACAGGATGAGGTGTTTTCTTGCAAATTATCAGTCAGTCCCTGAAGAGATTAATAGAGGTACAGTTTTTCATACAGAATTCAAAGTTTCCTGTGAATAACTTGGATGCTAACTTTTCCAATATGTCACGTGAATGTGAATGGACAATCTCAAATATTTAGATTCATGGACTGCACATGGTAATTAATCTCACTGAGTTTATATACAAAAGGTTAAGCTGTCATTCTTATTGATGTGAGTCATAACAAATGCAAGTCATTAAATCTTTGCTATCAAATTGTTGTGGCTTTTTCTTTGCTGATTTTAAAGAATATCTGGGCTAAATTGTGTCCTGAGGGGCTTGATTTTCAGCCTTAATTTTCTAAATCTGTATCTTCCTTTGGGTTTTGGGGAAATTTCCAAATTAATGTTAATAAAGATTTACAAAATCCTTGGAGGAAGAGTTCTTCTAACCATGAAATTAATAGTTAAATTACCAGGATTAAATATATGTTTTCATTTAAAAACACGTGCCCATGGAAGAATTACTTCAAAGTTTATTTTAGAAGAGAAACCCAAGTGTATGTAAACATAGTGAACTTCCATAGAGTCTTATAGACACTCTTTGAATGTTTAACGACTAAATGAATGGATCAACAAGAAAGCAGCTTAGTGCTTTAAGAGCTTTAAGAACTGTAATGCGGATTTGTTAAACTTTGCATCTTTAAAGCCCCATCCCAAGGACGAGCCACTTAAGGAGGCAGATGTTACACCTTGATATCAAGAGGAGCCCAATAGGAGTTAGCTAGATCCCCAAAAGGGAGAGGCTAGCATGGACAGCCACATCCCCTGGGAAATAGCTACAATTTATGGTGATAAATGTTTGCTAAATCGAATGGTAGTAAACACAGTGTTTGTGCTGGAAACATGACTTTTTTCCCAAGGTCTTTGATGGAAGACTGTCTTCTAGGTAAAACAGCCTTGTAGCATGCTACTTTTAGCAGTTGGAACTCAAACATATGGAGTCAGCACTGGGTTTCCCCTATAGATCTTTATCCCATAGAGCCTGAAGCCCTGCATAGAGGTTCTGTGGCAGGAGTTACTCTCAGGTGCCTTTGATAATTCAGGGAGCAGCACTGCTGAAATCTCAGTGTGTGTACAAATTACCTGAGAATCTTTTTTGAATGAAGGGTCTGAATTTTTTACCTCCAGATGGGGCCTGAGACTGCATTGCTAACCAGATGCTAGGTGATGTTGAAGATACTGATCCATGGATCACACTCTGAGCATCAAAGTCATAAGAGGTGGATTTTAAGCAATTAGAATAAGCAGATATGATATGAGGGAAGAGCGCTGGAACTTGACTCAGAGTCCTAGTTATGTGAACATGATGAGTCACTTAACTTTTCTGAATCCAAATTTTCAGATTAGAAAAATGAGTATGATAAGACAATAATACTTGCTGCATGAGATTGTTGTGAGAATTAAATTAACGTTATGTAAAAACTGACCAGAGCATTTGGTATATATTCTTTGCTGAATAAATTATTGTTGATCCTATACAGTAAAAACATAAGAATACAATTCAGTGTTGGTAACTGATAAAGCTGAGGGACTCTTAGGCTATGTGCCCTTCATAGTTCTAGGGGCTCTATTCTTTATTCCACCTCTGTTGTCAATTACAGTGTCTAGAGTTTAGCAAGTGGTCAGTGTTTGTGACATTGTCACAAATTTGATCACTGTCAGTGTGCATTTTCGGCTTCTAAAACACTGATGTCATACTAATGACCCAGTGTTTCCCCATGGCACTAACAGGAAAGAGAATTTTCACCCAAAATAATGATAATAACTTTCAGGCCTTGAGCCCTCTTTGAATGAAAAATGTAATCACTGGGAGAAAACTAAAATAAAGAAGACCATCAGACTAATTTTCAATAAAAATAGGAGGATAAAATAGCCGGTCATTCTTTGCCAGCCAGTATCTCATAATTTCACAAATTATGTGTAAGAGCTATCTCTCTTAGATAGAAAAGCAAAGATGGACATGGGCAGTTTGGCTGGCTTGCTTCTATTAGGAGCCCAGCCTGCAATGGTGTAGTTAGTATGAGAGGGGCTCGAACCATCCTCCACATTATAAGGTGACTCCCGTGCCGCCCAGGTCATGTGCCCAAAATTTCTCCTCTGAAAGTTAAACTTTCTATTTAATCAATTTATAAAATTTTAAATAGAATTCTCAAAAAGTGCATAGCAGGAAATGGAAGGTAGACAAATCAGTGAATAATCTGCAGCATCATTTACATCTTAACATTTCTTTCCACTGAGAATTCAGAGACAGAAACTTGTTAGCACCTGGAGGAAGTCTAGTTTAATTTATTTGCAGTAAAATCCAGAGTGAATCCGTTAATCTTTGTTAAAAGAAATGAGATTTTCAAGTCTAATCAGAGGATTTAAAGTTTTATTAAAAGATGTCTTTTTTTTCCCCCTCTTATAATCTATAGGTCTCAGGAGAAAAAGGAAGAGGCTATCACCTTACTGAAGGATTCCATTAAATATGGTCCAGAGTTTGCAGATGCATATTCAAGCTTAGCTTCATTATTGGCTGAGCAGGTAATTGTTTCCATTTAGTTTCACGTAATATTTTCTTAAGTGTTTCTGTTGAAGGTATAAATTAATGTCATAATACACAGATTTTTATATCATTTAATTTGTAAGTTCATAATGGACAACTAATCTGTATATCAGTTTTCTTCTTGATAGAAATCACAAATCTAGGTTTCTCACTCCAGTATTCTTTGTGCACGTATGGGGTCTCTAAACTAAGATGGTCCATTATAAACCACTACTAAATTCTTCATCACTTTGGGACAAAATACGTCATGAACAGTACATGATATTTGCTTGTTTAATTACTACTCATTTATATTTTTCTGGGGAATTGCTAATGGACTAAGATCTCTGAACTCAATATGGAAACAATTACCAATAATCTTATAGATCCTATGTCTTAATACCTATCAGAAGATTACAGAGTCACATAGGACAGGCTCCTAAGAGAGAACATTTTTCATGGCATAAAACAGAGAAGTATTTTGATTTCCCCACTTTTCACTGTATCTAAAATTCCCAGGTGGCTCAGTGGTGAAAGAATCCACCTGCCAATGCAAGAGATGTGGGTTCAATCCCTGGGTCAGGAAGAGCCCCTGGAGGAGGAAATGGCAACCCACTCTAGTATTCTTGCCTGGGAAATCCATGGACAGAGGAGCCTGGCGGGCCACAGTCCATGGGGTTGCAAAGAGTCAGACACAACTGACTATGCATGCAAGCTCCTGGCTGCAAACCATTTGATCCCACATTTCAGTGTTCTGGATGCATGCCCCCTACTGTGGGAAAACAAATATAAGTTGTCTTCTCTAAATTGATGATAGAGTTCTGTTGACACACATAAGTGCCCTCAATAGAAGGTAGATTCTGCTATTACATAATTTCAGATTGTCTTTAAAGTTAAACTCAAACTCAACACGTTTGAAAGATGCCCTCCAGCATGGACTTAAATGAAATGAATGATTTGATGTTGTCAGGTACAGGGGGGTGCAATTTGCATTGGAAAAACCTTGGAGATTTCACCAGGAAACAAAATTAGGACATTCAGTTGCTATTTAAGTGTCAGAAATGATAGATCTAGTTGTCTTGCTCTGCTAGTCTCCATATAGTGTAGGTGGGCTTTAGACAAAGGCCCGTGTCTCCAGTGGGTGATTTTAATGCATGTTTTAGCACAAAGTTTAAGCTAAAATGATGATGCTCATGTTTTATGGTAGACATGGCTGTCCTCAGCTGCCTTGGTTTGTGCTGAAGCAGACACAGTTGGAGTTTTCTGGAGAAAAGATTCCATCATTATTCCCTTTTCTCACTTCATCCTGGCTCCTTCATTTTCATAGGAAGACCCTCCCCTACCTCTGCCTGGCTGGGTGGCTTGCAGCTACTCAGACAAGCCACACACAGAGTTATGGCCTTTGTACTAACTGTGCCTTTTGCCTGAAGCACTGTTCTCCCAGATATCTTAGAGTTTCTTTCCTCATCTCATGCTGGTTTTATTTCTGTATGGGAGGACTATCTATGATTACTCTTTTGAAACAACTCCTTCACTGCCCCACACGTTCTTTGATTTCTTTCCAAAGCATTCATCACCATCTAACATACATTTATTTATGTCTGTGATCTTTCTCCCACCACCAGAATATTTCTGTGATCCAATCTCCTTGAGAATGGCTGTCTTGTTTATTCATGACTCTCCCCCCATGTCTGTCACATTGTATGCAGTAAGTAAATACTGAGTGAATGAAAAGTGAAAGTCACTCCGTCTTGTCTGACTCTTTGTGATCTCATGGACTATACAATCTGTGGAATTCTTCAGGCCAGAATACTGGAGCGGGTAGCCTTTCCCTTCTCCAGGGGATCTTCCGAACGCAGGGATCAAACCCAGGTCTCCCGCATTGCAGGCGGATTCTTTATCGGAGCCACAAGATGAATGGATATGATCTGAAGACCATGTAAGCCCTCCAGTCCGCACATGACCAAGGTTTCATTCATCTTTAAAGTAGGGCTGGGCACGTGAGCCACAGTGTTTCGTGTAATGAACTGTGCCTCAGGGTCATGCCCTTGTCCCTGCAATGAAGGACAGTGTGAGAACAGCCAGGTGAAGTTACTTCTTCCAGCCGCAGACCAGGGTGGGGTTGAGGCCAGCACCTGCTCCATTGTTCAGTGGCTTCTGGATGAGGACTCAAGGGAAAATTTCTCTCATGGTTCAATATTCGGAATAGCTAGGTTTCTCCTGAACTACAAGTTTTTTGCTTTATTTTTTAATCTAACGCATGAAAAATCTTACAAATGCTAAAGAAAATCAATTCTAGCTCTGTCTCCAGGGACCCCACCCCCAAATAACCGCCATCGACAGGATAGGCTACTTTTCTGTGTGTACTGCTTTTACTGGGTTTATCATTTTCCTTAACAGTTTGTTTTATTCAATTTGTGTTTTCTATTTTTGAAAGCTGCTTCAATTTTCTGTAAATGAATAAAGCGCTGCATTAAAATTGGGCTTTCCTAGTAGCTCAGTTGGTTAAGAATCCACCTGCAATGCAGGAGACCCTGTTTCAATTTCTGGGTCGGGAAGATCCCCTGGAGAAGGGATTGGCTACCCGCTTCAGTATTCTTGGGTTTCCTTTGTGGCTCAGCTGATAAAGAATCTGCCTGTAATGCAGGAGACCTGGGTTCGATCCCTGGGTTGGGAAGATCCCCTGGAGAAGGGATTCATTATTCTGGTGTGGAGAATTCCAAGGACTGTGTAGTCCATGGGGTCACAAAGAGGTGGACACGACCGAGCAACTTCACTTTCAAGATAGTCACATCTTTTTTTTCTTCACAACTTGCCAGGACATACAATAAACATTTAATTGTTCTTCTTGATGATAATTACCCTGAAGGTAAAAGACAATGTCACTCACCTAATACCAGTGATAACAAGGTATGTTGTTTTAGGGGGAGCTCTTTACTGACACTGACACAGTTCCATCTCCCTGTAATGCCATTTTTTTCTTTCTCTCTTTCTAAATCATCCCCATTTTTCAAGATTCAATTCAACTTTCACTTCCTCCCCCAACACTCACCTGCCTCCCCATCTCATGGGGAGTTAGATTTCCTTGGAGCTTCTATGAAATCTTCAGGAACATGCATCAACTCACAAACCAATCACATATTTTTATTTCTTGAATTAATATCTGAACTATATAATGTAAACAGTTTATCAGGTTTATTTTTCCTCACAAAACTGCAAGTTTCTTTAAGAAAAGCCATGTCTTTGTATGCATATTGCTTCCCTAGGGTTCAGGGTACTTCACTGTATAATACAAGCCAGGCAAGCATACATGCATCATCTCTGGACTTAATGCACTTCGGGGTCAGTTCCCCAAATTAGGAGAATTTGACAGTGAATCAGGTAGCCTATTCTAGATCCCACTTCCTAGTAATACCTGTGCAAACTTGAGTGAGAAGTGTTCTACCTCTATGGGCCTCAGTTTCCAAATCTAAAATTGATAACTACTCTAAATAACCTTCCCTAACTCTTACTGATCTAACATTTTAAGAGTGTGTAAAAGTACCTCCCTTAAAGTCAACTAAGTGCTAATGAACTTTTTCCTGAATAACTTAAGGCTTCACTTCAATTAGTGCTGTTGTTTCTATACAAGTAAAGTATTAACATGTTAATATTGTGAAAAGCGATTTGCCTTAGTAAATATCCAAAAGTTTCAAATTGTATTCCTTTTGTAAATTGGTGAACTCCAAGTTCATGAAAAGTTACTTTATTAAAAATGATGACAATGTTTGGTGACACTGAAATTTGAGTCCATTCATCAATATCTTACTATTGCCAAATTTTATAGACATATATATCTATAAAACATAGTATTAATATATATGTTTAAAAAGGACAACATATATACATTTCCCCACTTAAAATCTTTAAGTGCCTTATTTAAAATCAATTATGTGGTAAATTTGATTTTTGAGAACCATAATGGCAAATTGATGTAACATTATTGCATGCCACATAGTTAAAGTTATAAACAAGTTTTAAGAAAAAACAAATTATGACTATGGCCACGAGCTTTCCTTACATACAAAGATCACATCTTTTGCCAGCCTTTCTTATTCTCGATTCGAATGTGAAATACTGTGAACTTGAAGAATGTAATTGAAAGACTGAAAGGTCCTTCTGCTCCTTTGGGCAATTGATTTTAACATCAGAGAGAGCTCACAAGAGAGTAGCTGTTGGGCATAACTCAGGATTGCTTTCGCTCTCTGACTTTCAGCATCTTACCTTCATGCTTTGAAGTATTTAATAAAAGAATGCTTCAGATGCACAAGCATCAAGCTCGTATCCTTTGTTAGCAAATAAATTCATTTCTTGATAGCACAACTTTATTTATCCCAGAAAGCAAACCATAGTCGATCTGTAACACACTGGTAAGCCTTCCGTCACTTTGCTGGTCATCTTCCAGGACCACCACATGTGCACGTGCCCAGCCCATGCTCACTGTGGTTGCGGTGGCCCACAGTGTTAGAGAACCCTTTTCTGTATGGAGTTGAAATCAACAGTCCTGTGATTTGCTCCCCCTGGGCTGAGCCCAAGGGATAGCTTATTGAGCAGTTTTTAGATTTTGGGGTTTTTTAATCTATTTAGTCTTAATTGGAAGGTATTGCTTTACAATACTGTGTTGATTTCTGCCATACATCAACATAATCCAGTCATAGGTATACATATATCTCCTGCCTCTTGAACCCATTAGAACTGACTCAAATGCATTCCTTTTCATGGCTGAGTAATATTCCATGGTTTATGAGCACAACCACCTTGTCATTTTTCTGAACAACTCTTTTCTGTAATAAACTTGCTTCTAGTTGACCCTGATTTCTAAATACTGTCCTTCCGGTCATGTGCTTTACACAGGCTCTGGATTGTCCATTTTCTCTGTGACAAAATGGCTCGCAAATGGAACTGGTTTCTTAAATTATAGTTCAGTAATTTCAGGAGGACAAGAAATACTTTCCTGGCT